ATGTAGATCTCACACTGAGATTGAACCTCGTAAATTCTCTTGTTCTTCTTTACTGTTTTGAAAGCTGCATGAGTGTGTGTTTGATGTGTGTGTGTTTAATTCTAAACAACTGAATCAAAGCTTCATAAAATCATAACATGACATAATTTAATTCAAAATAGTAGGTAAGTAGACTTGAAGTAGGTTGGTGTTCTAGGTTTTGTAGCAGTTAGTGGAGAGACGTATTTAATTTGCCTCCCATTTTCATCAATTTATTAGAATATTGTTGTTTTTTTTTTCCATAAATTAGACTATTACCAATAAAAAATAAAAAAAAACAAATTGAGGTGGAATGGTCGTACTTGCCTTTGAAATAAATATATAAGATATTGTTGAAACATAAGTGGCTGGCCGAGACCAATGCTCAATCATAGTATTTTGGCAATTAATATGATAAACATGCTGTTTACATATTTTACACCAATAGTCAAATGTTAAGCCAAAATTGATAATAGTTATTAGTATTTTTGGGACTCATCGTCACTCGGCTAGATAAAAACTCGAACTCGTTATTGATAAGTAATTAAGAAGCTCATGAGCTAGCTAGTGAAATTTTGTAATTATCTTTTTACATATGTAAATTATGATTGTATTTAAATTTGCATGAAAGATGATGATGTCAATAAATGGCCTGAGTAATAAGGCTTTTTTAGATATTTGGTATCCACAATAACTTGTCGGACCAACCCATAAAAAGACATATTATCGTGACTGATCTTAGTTTCGTCACATTTTTTATTGGACCTTATAAGGTCCAATTATACAATTGAATTTCTTTAAATTATTTAATCTTATTAGGTTTCTTTTGTTTGTCTAAAATAAAATTAGCTAATATAAAATTAAATAATCTAATGAAAAGCCAATTATTTTATCAAACCCCGTCGTGTCCAATTGTGATTCGTCCGACAAGTTATTGGGTATACTGATCGAACAAAGTCTAATTATCTAATTAATAATAATAGCTAATTTCTCCAACCGAACGAAACTTGATTCTTATGTTACCAACCGAACGAGAGACATTAGGGAATTAAAATATAAGATATGTTGGTTAAGAAAATAAAAGAAAAGAAGCTAGACTAATTTAATTGTTTATTTAATAAATTAAACGCCATATCCATCACGGCAAGTTGTGAGCTGCAACCAGCAAAGTATATATAAAAAGTCCAAAAAGCGAAAGGTCAAACAGACTGACGGTAACGGAAGTTATTAGAGGTAGGGGCAAACGTCGTAAATCTGCTATAAAACCAAGGACAGTTCCCTACTCGCATAGCAACACGCCACCTATACGACACAAATTAAACACGTGTTTTTTTAATCATCATAAATATTGCATGAATATTAGTAGTATACACCGAAATATTATTAATTTTATAATTATATTAAATTAAAAATAATAATAATAACGTCCATTGAAAAAAATGCAAGTTGCGTAGATAGAGTCGGTCGTCGGTAATCGGGGCCCACAATTAATTTTTTTAAATATTATTTGTCTTCTTTAAAAAACACCACATATTCCTCGTGCTCATTTAAACTTTGTCAATAAGCTAGAGATAGAGATAATAAACTGATACATATTATATAGGGGAAATATGCAATACCCCCCTCAAATGGAAAATATTATGAGTAAAACCCAATTGACTTTTAAGACTTTTGCAAAAACCCACATCCCAAACTTAATTAGTGAAACCCCCTCAATTAAACATAATAAGACATAAGTACCCTTATTAATAGTTTTTTATAATAAATCAAATATTTAATCACGATATCTTTCCATAACCGTTTCCCTTTATTATAGGCGGATGTAATTCTCCTTGATATACAGGCGTGATTTCAGTCGAGATTAGGTGAGAATAGAGACATCGTCGCCGTTCAACCATTCTGCGATCGTTGCCGGAGTTAAACTGTGTTGAAGGTCAGAGGTTCCGCTTTAATTTTGTTGGTTTCGTAATTGTGGCGGGTTGTAGTGTGTGTATTCAGATATGTGTGTATGTGTATTTAGAACCGAAATTTCATTGTTTCTTTTTTGGGTCGTCTTAATTGGTGTAAATGAATGTTACTGATTGAAAATTTTATACATTTTTACACAGAGTCACGTTGATAGTCACGTTGTGACTACTCTGCAAATTTTTTGTTCGTTTTGTGTTAATTGATACGCTAGTGTAATTTTATTGTAATTTATTTTTTTTGTGTTACTTGATATGTTAGTGTAAGTTTCAATGTGTTTGTTGTGGTTGAATTGAATTCACATGATATCATGTGATTTGTATTTACAGGTAGTGCAGATTTATTCATCAGAAGTAGTCACATAGTAGTCACATAGTAGTCACATAGTAGTCATATAGTATTCTGTGACGCTTTCTTCTTCATTTCAGAAACCAGATTCGAATGTGACTACGCAACTCAACTTCACTGG